GCTGTCCCGTCAAGCGTGGTGAGGTGCAACAAGGACTAGCAAAATGAAAGGAGAGCTGTACTTAAGAGTATGTCCTGAGTGCTAAAAGCTAATACAGCTCAAGTTTTAAAAAAGAAAAAGGGAGTAAGGGTTGATCCAACACTCCTGCATTTCAAACAGTGTTCCTGTTGTGGTACAATCAGATGAACTCACCTCTCTGTGAAATTCACCTGCACATTCTCAGCTGGAAGCTTCTGGACACCATTTAAAGAGATGTAAATCTTCACAAACTTATCTGACTGATCCCAACCTGCAAGTGAAAAAAACAGAGATTAACTTCTACTTTTTTTCCATGAATGATTACCATCTCTGCCTTACTGAAACAATCTTCAGAGGGATAAGGGGAAAACATGAGTTATTCAGGAATAACTTGAGAGCAAAAGGAGGCCTTTATATGTAGCCATGATCCCTAATTCCTGCAAATTCTGAGAAAAAAACATGCATCAGCTGAGGTGAAAGGAGAGCAACCCTGTCTGTGCAGGGGGACTTAGAGGCAGCTGTCTGCTCCTGCTGCAGTTTCCTTGACCCACTTTTTCCCCTACTCCCTGGATCTTGAGCAATTCCCTCTCCTCTCACCTACATGGCAAGCAGAGAAGCCAAAGCTCCCTCCTTCACTCCTGCTAAGCACTAGGTAATGGAAAAATAACAGCTGGCACACCAGGGATCCTTAATGCATCCCACCAGCACCATCACACAAACAGGATAAATACACACTGCAGTTGTGATGGCAGGGTTAGCACGCGGTAGCTTTTAAAGTGGGGTCTCCAGGATGAAATAAACACTTAAGAAGGTTTTGCTATAATGGTAAGTGGCGACTCTAACTCACAGTAACGCCACCCTGCCTTCTCTTTAGAGAAATGCTAGAAAAAGAATCCTACCATAATTGTTTATTTTCACCGTGTACCCTCCCAGCGACGACTTTTCCTCCTCTGCCACATCTTTTGGCTTGGGCGGAGGCTGATTCTTGATTTCCATCTCCAGCTTGTGTTTCTCTGCCAGCAGGACATCGCGCACCCGCTTCCTCGTGGCCTTCGCGAGCAGTTCTTTAACCTCCTCCAAATCTTTCTGCAGCTGGTTCGAAACCAAAAGGTCACATATATATTAGACACGGTTCTTCGTGCCCAGGGCTCACAGCTGAGCTCTCTGCGACAGTTTCCCGTTTCCCAGAAAGCTTCAGGTTTGTTAGGTCATGAGTTTCATTTCCCAATACACCCCGTTAAACAGAGCCATCCCTTCCTCACCTCCTGTGAGATATACAGATAGATATAGATATACATATATCTCCTGTGGATATATAACCATATAGAACCATATAAAGAGAACCATTACATCTGACAGAATGGGTCAGGTCGGAAGGAAACACAATCTTGTCCAACCTCCCTGCTCATGCAGGGCCATCTTACAGCACACGGCTGTTAAGGCTGGGAATAAAACCCTCCAAGACCATCAACTCCAACAAGTTTTAAGCTCTCAGTGTCTAACCCTTCATCATTTAAGGAACACCCCGAACCGACAGGAGCGGGGCAGCTGGCACGGCTCCCCCGGCACGCCCCGCCGCACGGGGGGACCCCCGCAGCCCTCGGAGAGCGCGGGGCCGCCGCTCCCACCCCGCTCCGGGCCGGGCACGGACCGCAGCGCCTGGAGCAGCGGGGCCGGACCCGCCGGGACCCGCCGGGACCCGCCTCACCTCCTCCCGCGCCGCGGCCATGGCGGCTCCCGCTGCAACCTCTGGAACCTTCCGGCCGCGGGAAGTGACGGGACACGGCCCGCTCCGCCCTTTGGGAGGAGGGACATGGAGCCTGCCCGCCCCCGGGCTCTGAGGGGTAGGAGGGACATGGGGCGGGACATGGAACCTGCCCGCCCCCGGGCTCTGAGGGGTAGGAGGGATATAGGGCGGGACATGGAGCCTGCCCGCCCCCAGGCGCTGAGGGGCGGGCGGGACCAGGAGCTTTCCCCACCCCGAGGGGCTGAGGGGCGGGCGGGATCAAGAGCTTTTGCCGCCCCCGGGCTCTGAGGAGAGGGTGGGATCACGAGCTTTCCCCGCCCCGAGGCTCTGAGGGACGGGCTGTGCCGCCCTGAATTTGATGTATTTTTAAGGTTCAAGGAAGGAAACCTTCTAGCCTTTGAAGCTGGCAGAACAGCGTGGCGTAGGTTGACCTTGCTGGTATCTATCTCTGGTCATTTCAAACCACAAACGGCAACAAGAGTGACGCTTCTGTGGCGATCTGCGTGAATATCTATGTCTAGTGACCTGGTTACGGGAAGCTTTGCGTCGATTTTCAGACCTTTAGTCGTGGGTTCACGGAGTTTCACTGTGGCTGTCACCTGTCTTGCTCTGGTCACTCGTATCTCACGTGTGGCAGCACACCCTGTTTTTTGATAAAACTCGCGTGTGAGGGGCCGGGGCTGAGGCGGGCGGGGAGCGCGTTCTCTTTGGGTGATCAGACTTCTCCCCCTGGTTTTACGGCAGAAGCCACTTGAACTCATGGCCTAGAACGGTTTTGCAAAACAACGTGTTGTTTTCCTTCTTTGGGTAAAGAACGTCAGGTTGATGCGGTGGAACTGATGAAAAGGGAAGAAATTTGTGTTCCCAGCCTTTAAAGGGAACAAGGCTCACAAACCAAGCACCCTGTTGTGTGTTCGCTCCTCATTTTCATTGAAAAGGTTATTAAGGTTGGAAAAGACCTCCAAGGTAACTCCAACAAGGTTTAAGCCTTCAAGTTATAAGCTTTCATCAATAAAAAAAACAACAATTCAAACCAGCAGAGGTTGGGTGGATGGCACAGCTCCCCGAACACACACTGCCTCAGGGAGATCCCCACAATGAATGCTCAAAGACCTTTCTAGAGCAAAACCAGAGTGGAAGTTTCTGCTGGGAAGTTGTTCCTAACCTGTAATGTCACAATGTGTTCTCGGGGAGTGACTCTGGGAGTAAGAAAAGATTTAGTTATCAAACCACCTGGAAGGAAATGTAGCTTTAATTCACAATATGTGGCCACATATGTGTAAAAATACACCGGTGTAATGCTACCAAAATCCTCTTTAAGCATTTTCCTCACTGAAAGAAAAATATGGTTCTCACCATTCTTACTAAATCAGCGTTGTGAGCAACAACAAAAAAAGTTTCTATATCCCCAGGTTCCCGCTGGGCATTAAAATTTCCCACAAAACCAAAAATAAATAAGGCAGCGCCAATCCTTCTCTCAGTAGCAATGTGGAGGAGGCAGCGTTTGCCTCCAGATGTCCTTTACAAACAGTGGAAGCCAAAGCAGGACACAGCCCTTCAGTGTTTAAAAAGTCAATTTCTGTAAAAAAAGGTGCCAGTTAGAACACCTGTTTCACCAAGCTGGAAAATACCAGCTCATTTGCTGATTTATGGGCTTAGGTTTTTGGGTGGTTTTTCTCCTCTAAAGTGAATATCCAGGATTTAATTAATCTGTGAGGATATTTACTTTACAGAGGTATGGAGAAATTTGATGATGAGTTCACAGAAACCCTGAAGCCAAGGATTGATATTCAAGCCTTGCATTCCCCGCAGCAGTTTTAACAGATGTTGTAGTGAGGTGTTTATTATTACCCTCTGCTGCAGTGCTTCAGGATCTGCAGTTGGGAAAGATCTGCAAAATTAACTTGTGGTTATGTTTAATTTTCATAAGAATGAGCTTAAGCCCCGACCATCTTCAGGAACAGCATTTGGAAACAGGATAGTTGATTTTGTCCAGTAAATACAATATGGTCAACTGGTATTTTCTTCCATGGCACGTTTTCTCAATTGGTTGTTGCAATAAGCAGTTGAATATTCAGGAATTGCTTCCTTATGATCTTTCTGTTGAACTGCCACTGAGACAAGAAAAAACTTTCTGTGGTTTTTGGTTTTTTCCTTATATACTAATCTGTGAGTTTCTCCACTCTCAGTTGTGGTCTTATATTAGGAAGTGCTCCTAATATTACAATTTAAATTGGCAAATTTGTAAATTAATTTCTAGGAGGAAAATGCTTTCATTACTCCATAAATGCATTTGGGCCTGCAATTTGCTTTTTTCCCCTGTGACTTTTTTTTTTAATCCAGTGTTTATTTAGTTAGTTTCCTTAAATCAGGAGCATTTCAGCACCCATGGCACTTCCCTTTGAGTGGCAGCTTCCACGTGGAAAAGTTAGCATTATTGTCATGTAAAAGCAAGCTCCAAAAAGGCCCCATGTGCTCAGAGCTGCAGCAGCTTCTGGATGCTGCATCCTCTCCTGACAAACACTTTGGATAGTGATGTGGAGGTAAATCAATACAAAATGTTACGCCTGGTAAATTTAATCTTCCGCTTTCCTCCCTCTTTGCCTTCTTATCTGCCCCTGAAGTGCTGTGTGCTTTTCCAGTTATCTGGGAACAACAGCTCTTCATCTCAGTAATAGAAAAGAAATCCCAGAGCAGTTGCTCACGTGGAAAAATGGTTTTATAAATCGCTTGGATACTTCTGACCGTGGTAAATTGTGCTCTGTCCTGTTCTTGCTCAGCTGTGCCTCTCTTTGGAGCCCATTTCCAGTGTCTCGCTGTTCCCTTCTGCTCCCTGTGTCTCTTCCTGCAGGCATGCAGCCTCACAGCTCACTTGTACTCCAGGGAAGCAGGAACTGCTTACCAACATCAGCTGTTGGGAAAGTATCCCCAGCCTTTAGGAAAAGCATTCTCTGTGCTGGAGCCTTCAGACCTGCATTTGGAGCAGAGGACTGGGGTGCCCCATGAGCTCTCTGGCACAGCTCCTTGTGAACAGGTTCCCCCTGGGTTGGGTTGGAATTATCCCAGTAGCACACACACACTTTGGACAGCTCATCTGCTGAGTCACTGCTGCAACACAACCAGCTGGTGAGACCTGAGTCACAAAACCTGACTCAGCAACTGCTTATTCCTGCCAACAGATTTGAGCTGTTTCTTAAGCAAATGGCTCAGGAAAATAAGCACCTTATTCCCACACTGTTGTCCATTTCCATTTATTTTACAAGGCATCGTTCACACAATGATAACAAGGTACTGATCCAAACAATTCAGTAACAATTAAAAAAGTAAACATTTGTTGTGACCATGTACATTGAATTGCACTTTTAATAACAAGCATTACACTTATATTTCCATGTTGTACTTTATATAATACATGGATGATTTACCCAAGTACTGGCAGTACTGAATTGTTCTCAGTTAACAGTCTGATCTCTCTGTGATGCTCTTTTTTTCCCTAACTCTTTAGGATTTGTGAACTTGGCACACACAAGGATCACAAAGGCAATTCCAAACCTGGAAAACTTCATTGTAATGGAGTCAGAGCTTTGCAGCTGCTCTGTTTTCCACGGGCTGGAGTGAATCCACCTAAATGGCAGACAGGGAGGGAGCTGCATCATGCTTGGTTAGACCCTTTTCTGTAACCATGTACCGTCTTTTCCCAGTTCAGAGAACCCAGGGAACCTTCCTCCCTGGAAAACAACAATTCCCAAGGCTCCAGAGAGTTCCTGGCACAGCTTTTGAGGGTGGTATCAGCAGCAATGCAAACCCAGGGATTACTGGAAAGAGGGAATCGAGACCTGGAGAAAAATCTGGGAACATGTGCTCTTGTTTGCATTGGTAGTACCATCCATGCATTATATAAAATACAAAAATAGGAGTAACTGTAGGGAAATTAGTACAGCCCAGGATTCTGGTGGTATCAAATCACAAATGGAATTCATGACACCAAATCCTTTCGATGTATTTATCCCCTTGCCGTTCAGTTTCTTATATATTATTCTATATATAAGATATAGTTCTCCAAAGATACATCTATATTCCTTTACAGGTTAAATAAAAGCAAGTCCCACTGAATAAGAAAATAAGAGGAAGTAATGTCCTAATTCTCTACCCATATCTTTTTTTTCTTTTTCAGGTAAAAATAGCACGAAATACATTCAGTAGCAAAGCAGTTGGGATCCAGGAGAAATGGAGAGCCCTGTATTCCTGGAGAATTAACCTGTACGTGTTAAGTCACAATCCTGAAGTAATTTGGGTAGACTTCTGACTTGGGAAAGATAGGATCTTGATCAATGCTGAGCATTATGTATCCAGCTGCAAATTCCCCCCATCTGTGGATTAGCCCAGTTCTAAAGGCTGCTGTGACACACACCTAACCCTAAAACTTGAGAGGTCCCAGTAGGGTATTAGCACAACAGGCAGACAGATAATATGGGTTTTACCCTTTGTGTTGGCATGTCCAGGACAGCCAGCTGTGTGTGCACAGCAGCCCCTTCAGCGGGGTCCCTGCCAGCCACAGCAGCCCCTCAGCCTCGAGGGGAACCTCTCTGCTCTCTCATCACAATCAACCAGTGACACTCACTGCGGTTTTCTCTCCAGCAGCTGCAAGAGCACCAGCACTGTAAGGTAAGAGTGCTTCTGGTTCCAGAGCCAAAGGTGTTTTAGGCTTAGGAGATGATGCAGAAGTTGCCAATTATCCCTGAGTCTAACAGCAAATCAAAATCAGAGGTATAGTTCTCCCACACATACAAGTACCTTCATGGATTTCACTGCAGCTACTTCATTGAAGGAAGGGAACAGCCCTACCTTGATCTTGTGGAAAGCATGGCATGTAGCTTTCAATGTAGCTTTTGATGCTTCAGTGCCACTAAATGCAGATTTTTATTTATTCCTGAACTGCCACAGCCAGTCAGTGAGGGGCACCATGACCCTGAAGTCAATGGGATATTCATGCTTTGTCAAGGGGCTGAATTCTTGCAGTTCTTGGCTCTCCCTCTCCCCCTGTAAATGGCTGTTTTGGTTTCAAGTTGTTTCTAACACAATGGCACAGATGATCATTTATCTTAGAAGAAATTTCAAGGGCCAACCAAGAGAAGTCCTTTAAAATGTCTAACAAGAGAAAAAAACACTGCTTACCTATGTAAGCACTTCTAAGGTAGCTGCAGCAATGGAACTCAGCTGTAGCAAATTAAATCCTAATTAATGGGCAGGACGAGGGTGGGTTTGTCAGCTGGCAGGACTGATTACATGGCTGACTACTTTCCCTGAGACTGGTTTTACTGAACATTAATGCAGGTGGACCTCAGGGATTTTGCAGTTTCTTGGCTTAACTCCACACATCATATTTTCTATTTCTTTTTTCTTTTTAATTCTCTCCAGGTACATTTAGAAATGTAAACTAAGTGAAATAAGTCCTATTACTTTAGAGAGTATTATGTTTGGTTCACAAAGATAATACAAGACTAGTTCACGTAACTAAATCAGCCTTGCTTCATTTAGCCTGTAAAGTGTTACAGTCAAAGGAAAAACAACTCTTTAAAGTGGAAAAAAAAGTACTTTTTTCCTTTTTTTGTCCCCCCAAATCGGGCATCTCAGGAACAGATTAGAGTCCAACAAGGTAGAACAGTTCTAGTAAAAATATTCTTTGGAGGTTTGTTCCTAATCAAAGTACAGGGTTCATTTCAAAACGGTGCATTCTCAATAAAATTAAAAAATAGGATTTCGTTCCACATATATAAAATTCAAATTATTTTTAATAAAGGTTTGCTGTGGACACACAGTTTGATACCGACTCAGGAAAAAAAAGTTAGTCACTCCAGACTTACAAACTCTGTTAGCTGTCCCAGTGCCACACGGAAACAAGAGTTTCAGTGGGACTCTGATGATGTTTCCTGCTGAAAAGCTGAACAAGCAGCCAGCTCTGCCTGACAGATCCATCAGGAACAGGTGTGCAGGCAGCTCTGTCACACACAGAGGTTTTCCTGCAGGAGGTTACATTCCCCTGCAGCACCTACAGTCAGCAGGTGGAATTTTAGCCTGCCTGGTTTAATCCTGCAGTCCTCCTCCTTTCCTTGCTTCTGAACACTCACCAAGACAATGCCATATAAAGCTGTTATTTCCTCACTCCTTGGGCAGTTCTGAGAAGACAAACGTAACTCTTCCAAAACAAACTCTACCCTGGATCTACAGCAGGAAGGTGGAATTCCTTTAGTGCCTTTACGTCATTGCCTTCTGAAACTTCCCTTGGGTGACAAGAGCCCCAGCTTCCAGCCTACAGGAGTTTGAAAGCATCACAACTAGAAGGCAGCAAAGGTGGGTTGGTTCCAGAAAGTCAACTGCCAAAGTCAGAGGGCTGCCACACTGAGAAAAGCTCACTCCATGAACGTGGGGAGCTTATTTACCAGCTCCTTTCTGATAAACTGGACAAGCCCCACTCCCATGATCTGCCTCAATTGGACCCATTGAGATGATTTAAACTCAGTCACTTGGCAAAAGACAAACTGGAGGGGGAAAGGGGGAAACCCACCCACATACTTTTCCTTGCTGTTTTTAATCCTCTCCAGTAAGTGCTGTAGCAAGGACAAGGGACAGGACTGTACAAGGGGGAGCTGCAGGGGTGAGATCTTTGAGCAGCTGTGAGCTGTTAACTCACCTGCTCAGGGAATCACAGTATTACACGTTTTTTTCTGTTACTGCATTTTTCCAATCAAGGTTTTCAATCCACTTCTAGGTATGATTAAAGATAAATGAAATGAGAAATTCAGACACTTGTCAAACCACCAGTGTCACTCGAGGGCACGGTACTCTCAAATGTACCAGTCAGATGTTCAGCAGGTATCCTTAAATGTCACTTCAGATTTATTACAAATTCAGATTCACAGCTGTGGATGTGTGAAGCAGAACTGGTAAGGGAATGACTAACGCTGGGTTTAGTCAGACAAGAGAATGGAAACATTTATGCAAATATTATGAGCAAGAAAGTGATGAGGGAAAAAGACCTTTGCTAACATTTGCAAAAGAAATTCCTTCTATTCCCCCCCCCTTTTTTTCCACACTGCCTTAATATTTACAGATAATCCCTGTTCTTGCAGGTACATTTTAAAATACTAAATTTTTTTAACCCCTTATTCTTAGAAGAGAGAATGGTGTCAGGATGCTGATTATATTTTGATCTCTACTTCAAACAGCTGACTGCCTTTCAGAATCTTTACTTTGGCACTGGTAACATTAAATCTGTACTACCCTGTTGAAAATAATTCACAATTATGCTTGACAACAAAGCACAAGACGGGTATCATTGAATTTTATTGTACAAAACTGACAAGGTATGGCATTCCTTAGAATTAAAAAAAAAAAAACAGAACAAAACAGAACTAATGTCCCTGGAACAACTTTGCAAGTGGAACAATTAATACACAACCTTTAGTCCAGCAATGACATTTACCTGCAAGACCATCTTTAGACATGACAGGTATAATTAAAAAAATATTCCATCGGTTCAAGCAATAGTTTAATTTTCCATGAAATAAGTATTTCTATAAACACTTTATGTTCAGTCAAAACAAATGCTCTTGAACTTTCTTACCTTAAGAGATACAAAACAACCAGACAGGTTTGGGAATCACCAGAGAAGTCTACCCCCACAGGAAAGGCTAGGGTTTGTATTCCACTTGAAAATGCTTGTTTTTATAAAAATAAGTAATACCAACGTAGCATTTCCTAACCAAACACTTCTAGCAAACAGCTCTTGCTTCTGTGATGTTTTATTCATCAGTGCAGCACAAGCCTTTTGGGTATTTTTTTTGATACCTCATTTCTATGTCAAATTTGGAATTTGAATGTAGACCCAGGGAAAGGTTTTCATTAGTTTTATTCATAAAACCCACCCTTTATTGCACAGGATTTACAAAAGGTCAAAACTGTGCAGGGTCTTCACTCTGCCTCTCAGCCAGAACCATCAAATGGGTGTTGAACAGCTTTCCCTTTATCCCAGTGGAAGGAATTATTCCTCGGAATTCTTAGTATAACACGAAATAAAACAAAGGGAACTAGGTAACTTTCTGTTAAATTCCAGCTGAGCTGTAAACAGCCATCCAACAAGAGCGCTACAAGAACGGCACGACTCGCACTTCTGAAGGAAAACCAATCCGAACGGAGGGATTCCAGGGCAGCTCCTGAGGGCTGTGCCAGGACAGCACAAGCCCATCTCTGCTACGGCCTAAAAGCTTTACAGAAAGTGCTTCTCTGCAGGACAAAGTCGCTGCATAAACGGGGCTGGTCCCAGGGCCACCCGCACACCCCCCAGGACTGAGCACTTCCCAAGGAGAGTCTGCTGCAGTGCCTCACACGGCCCCTTCCCTCTCTTCCTCCAGAAGAAGAAGGAAAAAAAACTTTCTATGCGAGATAAAAACAATTTCGAATTAGTCGTATATTAAAGACCTAGGTTTGAAGTATTTATTTAACATCTAGTCATAGAAAATAAAGTGTAAAAGTATGAAGGTATCAGAACGTGGCTTTCAGCAAGGCAGTTTGGGAAGTAAGAATTCAACATAAACCAGGAATTACTTTCCCCCCCCACCACCCCCTTTGTAAAGGCTCACATCAGAAAATGAATGAAAAACACCGAAGAATTTCACTTCAAGCCTGCGCTCCTGTCTTTTGTCCTTTCCCCGAGAGGAGGGACCGCTGGGAGGCTCCTCCGGGGTGTTTCAGCTGCGTTGTTCTTTGTGCTCTTGTGCCGGGTGTGGCCCGAACTATGTGCTGCCCTCCCGGGGGGGCAGGGGCGGCGGGGGCTGCGCCGGGGCCTGCGTGCCCGTGGCCGTTTTGATCGAGTTCAGGGTTTTGCTAAACCAAGAGTTTTTGGCAGCTTGGATTTCGTTCATAAGGGCTCCTCTCTGGTGCTCCAGCTCCTAAGAAAGCAGAACGGTCAGAATTGATCAAAAAACATAATTAACAACAACAACAACAACAAAAAAGCATCCACACGCTCAGTCCCTGCAGTCCAGCACTTTCCCTGCAACCTCCCAGGCACTGGGGAGAGAAGACAGATTGAAAACTGCAGAAACAGCACAAGATATTTAGATGCACAAATAAAAACCTCTGCTCTTTTTAAGACAGACTTTTTCTCCTGGAAGTTCACAGATACACAGCCATGAACGTACGTCCCCTCTTTGGAACAATTTTTTGCAGGGTTCAGAGTGATTCTGGACTGAGCACAGCGAGGTCAGTGTGAGTGCCCTGCTGAACTCGGATTCCACCTACCTGAATTTTGCACTTGGCTTCCACGAGCTGCAGTTTGGTCTGTGCAAGTTCCAGCTCCATCTCTCTCAGCTGCTTCTTCAGTGCATCCTTCTCATCATCTATTTCAATGCCTTTGTTGTCCGTGCTTACAGGAGGCACCTTCAGAGCCCCCTCCTTGCTGAAAATCTCACTGCAGTGTTTGCAGGCCATCACTTTACCCTGAAATACCCAGAAAGCCCATTCTTAATCCACTTTACAGGAGCTGTTGTGCTTCTTGGAAGAGCCTTTTTTGTGTCAGCCTGCCTCAATCTCAAACTATCCAATACTGCAGTTTTCGTATTTGTCACAAAGAGAATTTGAGAAGTTCACAAACAATTTCCAGGGTATGTTAACCACTATAAAAATTTCCTAAAATCTACCTACCAGACTCTGTCTAAGCACAGTGACTTTGCTCCTACGTTAGAATTCCTCTTGCTACAAAAGCTTTGTAACATTTTACAGTGTTTTGTCAGCACAAAAAGGAGAGTAAATTAAACTCTGGGCAGATTAAAAAGCTGGCCTGGCTCACACAAACTAAAACAGGATATTGAGCTATTTCAGCAGGTTATAGGAACATCGACCCTAGAATTATTTTATTTATGATCTTAGCAATAACATAAAAAAGTCACTAAAAAGCAACAAATCCAGTTCAGGTTCAGTATTAAAGAAAGATCGAGAACTTAACAGCAGAGGGAAAACAACTCTGCCTGCTCACCAGTGACAGAGCAGACAGATGGAACTGTTACCTGCTCAGGAAATGTTCACCTCTTACACAGATGTTCCTGGTGAGGGGTTTAGAGAAGGGAGAGGAACCCTATGGAAATTCTGGGGATGGCCCAAGCTGAGCCATCTGATTTAATTACTTAAGCCAATTCTGCTTAAATTACAGAAACTCAAATATAAACCTTGTCCAATCTGGCCAATTCCAACCCTTCCACTATGCACGCTGGAAAACCAACACGTGGTTTTTTTCTAGAGAGTCTTTTTTTCTCCCCCAGTTTATCAAAACATCCAAGTAAATACTCTTTTCTCTACAGTTTTACAGGAAAAAGAAAAGGCAAGGATTAAATGCACTTCAGCCTGAGAGTCTCACCCTGTCTGACATAATAACCCTTCTCCTTGTTTAAATCTGCTGAAAAATGCACGTGGGGCTACTGAACTTTTTACCCTTCAGTTCCCATTTTGTCCTGTATCCCGACACATCCCGGATTGCAGAGGCCTCATTCTCACCTTCACAACTTCCAGTTCGTCTTTACTAGCCGCCTGTTGTTTTTCCAGCCTGGTACTCAGCTGGGAACAGATCTGGAACAGAGAAAAGCAGCCTCTTATCTCAAGTTCACTGGACTCAAATAGAACCTGTGCTTTGTAACTGTGATTTTTTGACAGAAAAAAACATTTCTTAAATTCTGCCTCACTCAGGGATGTGCATCCCCCCTAACAAGTCTGATCATGGTAAAAAAACCAGTAGCATTCAATACAGAACCTGAACACAGAGACTGGGACGTTTTGTGGATGAACTGGTTTATGATGTTTTTGCTGCATTGTCACTGAGTACAGAGGCATTCACCCAACAGCACTAAAATCAGCTGAAAGACAGGTTATTCCTGACTGCCTAATTAGGAGACTATTAGGAAAACCACAAAAATATTTATGACAAATTACAGCGTTGCTCTCTGAGAGCCTGGGAGGCAGGGGAGCTTATTTAAAGGATGAGATCTGCAGTGCTGAAAATGCAGCTCTTGGGACAGGCTGAAAGCAGAAGTACAAGAAAGAGCCTCTGGAATGGTACCTGTTTATACTCTGCAATAATGGCTGTGGTTTTCTTGATCTCAGATTCCGCCTTCTCCAGCTGCTTCCTGAAGACTTCCTTCAGCTAGGAAGGGAAGGACAGAAGTTACCCAGTGCACTGACAGAAGCTCTGAAAATGCATCATCAGATTGTTCTCTCTGTGTCTCGCTGTGTTTACAGCAGCTCTACAGCTGCTTCTCACCAGACTCCAGTGTCTGATTTACTCAGTATAAAAATCCTTACTGTATCAGTGATAACCAAAAAGTCTACACTGTGACCCTTTATCCCTGCTGAGAGAATTCTCCTGTAGCTTAGTAATTCCCTCTGTGTTGAATGGCAAAAGAGCAAAAATAAAATCAGGGTATCCCTTTTGAAACCTACACGTTAAGACACACATTTTGCAAATGAGTATGAGGACAGGTCTAGTCAGCAGAATTCTCCCAGCCCTCATCCCTGCTCTGCTGTTGGTTCCAGCTTCAGGCAGGAACACTTTATTTCAGCAATCCAGCAGCTGAATCCAGAACAGACTCTTACAAGGCAACAGCTCCTCATTTAGATAATTAAAAGAGGTCTGATGTCCTTAACTGCGATTGCTCACTGCCAGTGACAATGATTGTGAAATCCTGGGAAGACGATAAGCTATGGAAAACTAAACATTCAGAGATCAAGTAAAGGAAAACACCGAAGAAAAAAACTACCCTGGCACTACAAACTTTTAATTGCAACTGTATTTTGAAGACAAAATCCCTTGTGCAACTGCAACACATCCACACTTTTCTGCATATCCTTCTGCTTGCATTTCCCAGCTCAATGGGAAAAGCCGGAGAATGCCTTACCTGAGCAGTTTCCTCCTCCTGCTTCCTTTTCTCTTCCTCAGTCTCCACCAGCTTCTGCTTGGTCAGGAGAAGTTCCTTGTTCAAAACATCCGCTTTGTCTTCAGCCTAAAATCAGAGACACTGGTGTAACTCAGATCTTATCTGTGCCAGTACAAACCCACTGGGATATACAGCTCAGAACTACTGCAGATTCAGGTTCTAGCATTGCCTTTTCCTGCCCTGTGGAATCTGGGAAGCTGTGCGAAAGGACCCTTTGGCCACGTGTTTTCCTATGGCCACACAGGCACAGATACTCTGTCCTAAGCAGGGAAAACAGGTACCTGTAAAAACTTTGGTGCCTGCACTGCACCCTACAAAGTGTTCAGGCAAAGGCAAGTGTAGGACAAACAGGACCACCAGATAAATTATCAGTGCACACAAGTATTACATGGAGAAACCTGACATGTGTGTGCACTAGGGAATAGGAATTTTGTCCTTTCTTGGAAGGGCCGAGCTTATGGTGACACACGCTGGGAATGCCTCGTTTCTGTGAGCACTGTCCTCACCCATCACCAGGAGAGAAATGAATTTCTCAATGTCTGGATACATTGTGTTGCCCTCCCCAGCTGGGAGATACACAGGGCACCTCACCACTGCTCCTGTTCAGTAACGAGGGGCAGGGCAGGTAATAGTTGTGGTCAAATAATACTGAGTTTGCTGAATATCCAAGGGGGAAAAGGGCATTGGAAACAAGAAGTAACCGTACAGGACTTGTCTACAAGCTGCAGTTTGGTTTCCCACCAGTGCTGGTGGTATCAGCTTATCTTTCTGCCACAGTGCTCATTATTAATGAGGGTGTTAGTGGTGAATGTGGGCAGCAGGAGCAGCTCCACCAGGGCCACAACTGAAGAGATGGACTGAGGATCCCTGCGTGGCTCAGTGTGTTTAAGGCTGCTTGGGAGAAAGGAAATCAAGCACTGTAAGAATGGAAAATCGATGAGCTTGACATCTTAGAACTAAAGAACTTGGGGATTACAAGGGTATTTCTGATGAAAGACTTGTTCTCAGATATGCTTTGAAGGAACTGCAAATCCTTCCTCCTTTCATGTGCTCATTCCGGTTTCTCCAAGCACCTGCAGTGGTGTTTGGTGTCCTGTCCTTGCAGATGAGGAGTGCAGCAGCACAAAGCTTTTCCTGGGAAAAGTGCCTGGGAATGGAGGCAGGGGGTGGGGAGCCACTCCTGTCTACAGAAAGACTGGGAAAGTGTGGGAGAGCAAGGAACAGGACTGGCACAGGGATGTGCTCAGCAGCCTTGCCGTGACACTTCAGGAGAACAAGCACGGGCAGCAGCAGACACAAAACTGCTCCATGGACAGCTGGAATTCCCAGCATGACAGAGCTCCTCAGCACAGGGCTCTGGGCCTCCACACGAGCCTGCCTGCTCCATCATGCAGAGCCCATCTCTGTGCTCACCCACACAGCTCACAATTTCAGAATCCCACGGATCCAAATCAGCAGAGCCCAACTGTCCAGGATCTGCCTAAGCAGAGATACAGCCTGCACAACTGTGGTCAATGGTGTTTACAGTTCTGAGGTTAGATAAAGCAAGCCAAAATACCTGTGGGAAATCCAACTGAGAGGCCCTTGCAGGCAAAGATTTTACATTATAAAAGGCACCACAGCAAAGGGGCTAATCACAAGATGTGGTGGAGTCTGACCCTCCTTATTTAGTACCTTAACAACAGCTGTCACAGCATTTATCAATACCACATAAAACACCTCAGAAAGAGAGGGCTGAATGTGGAGTTCTCTGAAAACCATCTCTGAGGCAAAGGGCTCTGCCCTCCATGTTCCTGTCCTCACAGGGAACAAGAGCAGTTATCAACAACCACACAGGAGCCATTCTAATTTTTGGTGCCATGCCACCTCATTATCTCTGAGCTTTGTTGGCTGTACTAAAACTGCTGTGAAAAACAGATCCACGTAGACATTTTGCAAGGCAACTTCCCTTGAAACGAGTCTTTCAAGGAGTTATGTGATGCCTTTTTCAAGGAAATGTTCATTCTGTGGTATGTGCCTAAAGGTTATGGCTTACATTTCTACGCAATCCCCAGCAGAGGAGGTGCAGTGTTGGCCAGACACCACTGAATGTGGAAATCCAGCTGCCTGCAGCTAGGAGTGAGGCTGTCAGGAAAATAAAGGCACAGATAACTGCACTTTCAGTGCTGTGTTCTGCTCTCACTGGAGCACAAAGCTGGGCTCCTAAAACTGGTGCTTGCCAGCCTGATCTGGGGCCCCTCTGTGTGAGCGTCACCTGGTCCAGGTCATTCCGTAAGGCAATCTTGCTGGTGACGAGCTCGTGGGCGAGGTCATCGTTCTCCTGCTCCAGCCTCATGCTTGCTTCTTGGAGCCTGCGGTTCTCCCTCTGCCGAAAGAGAGGAACAGCCAGGAGAGGGGGTTAATCCTCATCGACACGGCAGAGCAATGAACGAGCGAACTGTGTGCGCAGAACACCGGCAAGGCGAGAGTGCACATTCAGACAGGGCTGCTGCTCTGGGAAACAACAGTGAGTTAAGCCAGCAGTGCAAATGCAGCTGTTCCACTTACGTCCCAATGGTCTGTGTCACCAGGTGACAGACACACTGATTGTAGTGTTTCCCTGTCAAAAGTACACACAGACCTCTCCACAAAAGCACTCGGTTTCTGCTTGCTCATCATCTGAAGAAATCAGGCAGATAAAATCCCACCCAGCAGCAGAGAACAGGGACCAATTAAGAGCTACTCATAACGTTTCCAATCGGAAGTAGAAAGCTGTCCTGCTCCACTTTACAAAATTCTGTCTGCAGGGATCCATAAAAATAGTCCATTTTGTAGATGATATGGTGCCAACTTCCCATCTCCTGCGGAACCAGCAGAGCACAGCGTTTAGCAGGGAAGTCCCTACAGCTCCTATATCCTGTACTGCCATTTGTGCCCTTCCCTGTAACCCACACCAGTGACACCAGTGTGTGTTGGACAGGAAACCTGCTGAGCCACAGTGCCAGGGGCAGAGGGGAGCTCAGCCCCGAGCACGGGACCTGCCCGTGGGCAATGAGGGGAACACCAGACCGAGAACTCCAGGCCCTCCCTGCCCACTCCACACAGGCAGAGACAGCTCCACGGAGCACCAACCACCGAGGGGAAGTGCACAGGGGATGGTAACTCATAGTAACGAGAACGATGATTCATGTGTTTGAAAAATCAGTGACTGTTCTTCTAGGGCTGAGAAACAGAACCATATTCAAAAGATGCCTGTGGGTCAGTGGACTCCCAGGGGTCCAACATCAAACTCTCATCCTCATCTTCAGAACAACACAGCCAGGTGGGAAGGACAGAGGTGCCCTCCCCAAATGGGTTTCAAGAGAGGAAAACCTGTGCTGGCCTTCAGTCACACAATGGCTGTGTATCTTCCACACCAGCACAGGCTGCACGGGGCATCTGTGCCCCATGGAAATTCAAGGTAAAACACCATGTTCACATGGGAAACTCGTAGGTGAAGGAACAACAACCTACATGCTGAGATTTTAAAAAGGACCTCTTCTCACTTGAGAGGTAAGCTATGTTCTCCAAGACAAAACAATAGAATTCAATATCTATCAGCACTCTAGACAAAAACATTTCCAAGAGTTGTTCAGTGAACACGTTCCTACAAAATGCGATTTCTTGCATAAGCACATTATTCACCTGTTTTCACTTCCTCCTGCCTACCAGCTATGCTCAGATATTTTTTTGTCTCCAAACTCACCACCATGAAACTGCAATTTTCATTTCTGTTGCAAGCAGGTTTTGCACGCTTGTCTTAAACAAAAACAGGACAAGCAGAGCTCTAAGAGGATGTTTAAAAAGGTCTCTTCTGTGTGGGAACTTCCTCTGTGGCAGGAAGCAGAACCTCTACAAATTCTCTCTCCTTACCATGACCCTATTGTGCAACTAGACCAGGCACTGCCCTGTACAGGAAAGTAAGTTTGTTTCCTTTCCAAAAGATCGTACTTTGAATAACTTGTTCTGTACAGAAACTGTAAGTAAAATGCTTTTGTCTTAGCACTGTTGAGATAACCACTGCTAAAAGACACACAACTTTGGGGATCTTTCTCATTTTAACTGCACTGTAGCCTGTATGGGACGGGGAATTTTTAAAAGTAAAACTCTTCTCTAAGGATAAAATGAACTTTAAAACGTAAACCCAAATTGCAGTCAATCACCATCATCCTCTCTAACACGTCTTTTCCCCTGTATTTTGTTCAAACCACCTTAGAAATGTTGATTTTTATAGACAGCAGGCAGCTGTGAGACCTGGCTTCACCTAAAACCTGGGAGCAGATCAGGGCAGTGCTGCAGATGCTGCAGCACCGGTGCCTCTCCGTAGGGATGGTGCTGAGGAGGAGAAAGCAGCAAACTCTTAAGACTTTCACAAAATAACCCACTTGGCTTTAACATTTCTGCTGTGCCTTTGCCAAAAGCTTGAGTGTCTGCAAAGCAAGCTGCAGTGTGAAGATGAGAGTTCCTGCTTTGCACTGGCAGACAAGTGTGTAAGCAAGCTCGGTGCTGGAAATGCGCTATCCTCCTCTTACACGAGACCGTTCGTGGCACGCCGGGAGAAGGCAAAGATCTCTTACCTTGGGCATCCGGTCAATAGCCAAGAGATGCTTCTAGCCCGGTCACCATACCCTCAGTGCAGCTGAGAGCCTCTCACAGGGCCACCTTTACTCTCCCTCCACCCAGGGCAGAATGCCCGATGAGATGGTTTGTCTTTTCCAGCTCCTCCCCTCAGATCTAGCAGTGAACAACTGCCTCCTTCCTCAGGAGGAAACTCCTAGTCTGCCTCACTCTAAATAAAACCTAACGTGACACAGTCAAGACAGAAATAGCAAACAGTGCTTTTCACGTGTAGCAAACTATTTCCAGTGGCTCTGAAATATTTACAGGGTTTTATGGAATACGCTCGCAAGGACAAGAAGTTCAACAGATGGAGCTGGTTCGTTAGAGCAGGACTCACATCCCAGGCAGCATTTGTGACCTGGCATCAGCCAACTAGTCAGACCTGCTCGTTGTCCCTGCTGTAAACACACAGCGTCCTGCCTCTTCTCTGCACACCACTAAATTACCGACTATGACAACCATTTCCTTCTCCTCGGCATTGCTGGCTTTCTACGATCCGTAAAATAAGAGATCCCTCTTTCCCAAATTCCTCCTCCTGGCTACAAAAGGTGGCTGGTGAGCTCTGGTTAACTGTTAAAAGGAGGATACTGCATTTCCAAAAAGGACAAACACCGCTGATAGACACACACAAACACAAATAAACTTACCTCCTGCAAAGTCACAGACCAAATACTGCTTTCAACCATTGGTGTGAAGACAGTGGAAACAGGATATAAAATAAGTTTTAATACCAACAACAACAACAAAAATTGCTGATTCTTCAGTGGGTTTTTGGTTCTGAGTTTTAGAGAGGATGTTCTCCAGCTCCCATCACACGCTGGATGGAAGGAAAGAAGGAGGCAGACTTGAAAGCAAGGCTCAGCTCAGGAAGACTGAAGGCTGAACTCCACCCTCTGCTCCCTTCCAGCCTGCACCGAGGAGCAATTCCTGAGGAGATCAGTGGTGATGATGCATCCTCTCTGAGCTGTACTCAAGTGGGGTGGAACGAGTCACCAACCTCCTTAAGCAATTCCGCCTCTGATGAGCAACGCCCTGTGCTGGCTTTGGCTGGGGTAGAGTTAATTTTCTTCACAGTGGCTGGCAGGGCTGTGGTTTGGATCTGTGCTGGAAACAGTGCTGATGGGATAGAGATGGTGCTGTCATTGCTGAGCAGGGCTTGCACAGAGTCAAGGCCTCTTCTGCTTCTCATACCTCCCCACCAGCTTCTTCATAAGCCCAGGGGAAAGGGCTCTTGGCTGTGGAGGAGCTCTGCAGGAAAACCCTTAGGAGCTCCATCAAGAAACCCCACAGGCTCTTACAGCAACCCATCCAGGAAAACCTGCCATGGGAAGCAACACAGAGGCTCCTGGAGGTGGCTGTGTTTTCTGTCTGGTGACTGTGGAGCAGCATCCCCCACAGTGCCTCAGCACATTTGGTTTTTGGAAACCACAGACCATGTCCCACACATCAAGAGCTGTTGTGTTTTTCCTGGTGATGTTAACATTCAGTTACCATGACTGAATGAAAATGAGCAGTGAATTAATTTTTGCTTCCACTTCAAACACACCAAAGGCTGTTATGTCCAAATTACACATTTATTCAGACACACAACTTCTCTGTTGCACAACGAGGTCCACAGAGGAAAAGGTGAAACAGAACAGCAGGGTCTGCTTGCAAAACTCCAGCCCTTCTTCTCTTTATTTTAAATCAAGTCCCAGGCTCAGTTCTGGAAGTTTCCCATCAAGTAAACCCAAACCCTGTTATGTGAGGTGTTCTCAAACACAGAAAACCCCCCCATAATATTTAGAAAAATATCAATCTAAACTATATTACTACTTTTTCTCTACATACAACTCACTTTTTTTCCTGGCTTCTGTAGGCAATTAGTAATTTATTTTAACCAAAAAGTCATGAAATCCAGTGACAAATAGCAATTTAGAACACACTTCCCTTTTGCACCTTTTAAAAATCTGACAAAAATGTGATAATTTCTTAAAAGCAATGGAAAATAAAGTGAAAAGATGTCCATAAAAAACACACACTTTTCCTAAATAATACCTGTAAATACATCAGGAAACAAACATCAAAAATAACACACTCTTTAATACTGTTCTTTTGGTAAGTTAAATCACAGTCAACATGTAAAAGCCAAGCTGGGCAGGAACTCTTGTGCGTGTAACAGCTCATGGGAGCGGATGAACTGAACGTCTCGAGCCAACCTGACTGGTCCTGGGGGGCCCAGTGCTGCCAACCCAGCCCATGTCCCTCTCTTCACGGACCACCAAGGCCTTCATTTCCTCCCTGTCTTACTCAGACATCCTCCCCCACTGCAGCTCACAAGGGCCCGCGTCTCTGCGGTCCTGACAAACCTCTGCTGGCAACAAAAACTGTGCCACGGTGCAAACAACAAGCCCTCTACAAACTACAGCTGGAAACTATCACCAGACTGAGAACTCGCTTCCTTCTCGAGGAATGTTCTGTTGGGATCTCCCCTCCAGCGATCCCATCCATGAAAGGTCCTCTTGCCGGGCAGCAAACCAAGCCCTTGTTTTGCTCTGGGAAGGGAAACTGTGACACTTGCAATGCTGCAGGGCCGTGGGGCACAGCCCACGCAGGGGGAGCCACAGCAGGGCCGTGCTCAGGGGCAGGGCCTTTGTCCTGTCCCAAACCAAGCCCAGCCCTGCCCTGGGGCTGCCCCCGTGGGCTGCAGAGCACTCACTGCGAGGACAGCAAACAGCAAGGCTGGCTCTCCACCTGCTGCCTGTGAGGGGTTTGTTGCTGCCCTTCAGAAAGGTCAATTCTTACCAACCCCAGCCTGACACAGGCATAAAATCTTAACAAGCAAGACAAGGAACAAAGAACACTTACAAGCATTTTTCCATGGCACCCATCAACTGAAGAATGCGTCTGAACTTTGAACTCAACTAACCAGTTATGGGGACTCTCTGATCACAGCACTGCTAAGAGGATCAGACCCAATCCAGCTTAATAAAAAAATCCACAGTGAGTTTCGGAAGTGCAAGCCAAAACCCTGGGCTGTGATCTCAACTGTGACAGTGACTCACAGCAACAGCGGCCCAAGAGTCACTTTCTATATCCTCTTTGGCAGCTTGGGATAATGTTCTTCACTGTTCATCACCCATGATTAACTAGTTAATATGCTTCCACAGAGCTTTAAAGAACCTTATTTGTTCTCTAAGCATTATTTTACTTCCACAGTACTATAAGTGAACCACTGAAAAAAATACTCAGGAGTTAATCAGCAGCAAGTTGTGTTTTTTCCCTAAATAGGCCATGGTTGCTATTGGCTCTTGGCTGCTACAGCCATCCCAAGTCTCACAAACAATAAAACTACACTCTTTGACAGCAAAAAAAATACACTTAAAATATAACTTTTCACAGATAAATGCTTTTTAAAAGAGGAGTCAGTTTGACTTTCTCTGTACCTGTTAAGTCACATTTATGAAGTAAGGCACAGTCTCTCACTGCAGATTTCCATACTTGGGTGTTCTGAACATGGTGGCACTTTCCTTACATTCACAGACCAGTGGAATAAGATTATTCCCCACTCCACACTCCTGGCAGACTCTGCACCAACTGCAACGTCACTAAGGCACAAGGAGGAACAGCAGGCAAACAACACAGGGCTGTGTAAGCAGTGTCAGTTCCCAGGGATCCTCATCTCTGGCTGCTCCACCTGGAGAAAACTGCATCTGCTCAAACCAGGGTGAGCAAGGAGCGGATCCCAAACGCTCAGTGAGGGCTGTGCCCAGGGGCAGAGCCTCCAGCACACAAAACCTATGGCAAGAGAACCCAGCTGGGACAGTGAGAGAGATTCACTGACAAGATAAGCAAAGCTAATCCAAAATCAAAGAGCTGTTCTCTTCTGGTGAACTAGTGAGCTGTCATTCTTACCAACTGAACCTTTATTTCTCTGCTGCCCTAGAGCAGGGTATCCATCACTGCTAATTCTGTTGCAGCAGTGCCAGGGCCCCCAGGGAGCTCCGGGTCCCACCTCACCAGGCATTATCTTAACAACAAACTGCTAACACTGGGTATGAACAGGAGTGAACGACAAGGAACACGTCAGCCAAGGAAGAGTTCATCTTCCAAAGTCTCTGAGGATGCCACTGCATACAGCTCGTGCTAGAACAATGTGTATTTTCTCCTTTCTGTGTCTGTAGCTGAGAATCCCCCTTTGTTTCTGCGGCTCATGAAGATCTCCCATAACACTGCAACAGCAGGAGAGTTACCTACAAACATATAAACTGAAAGAAGAAAAATATTATATGTGGCTACTTGCAGATGTCTTGAGAGTTACAAAATTGCGACTGAAATACTCCTGGGAAAAAAAGGCCACTAAGTCCAAGTGTTCCAAGTGCCTGCTCAGGAAAGGGGCTGAGTCTCACCTGGCCCTGCACTTGCCTAAGGTCTGCAGCAGCACAGCCCGGGGAGGTGAGCGTGGCACACACCCCTCTGCTCAGCCCCTGGCACCGGGTCACTGCCGTGGGATCTGCCAGGAACAGGCTCCCGAGAGCATCTCCTACCTTGTATCTGTCCATAGGATCTTCCTGCTGCAGCTGACTCTCTCGCATGGTTTGGTACTCTCTCTCATATTTCTTCAGCTTTTTCGTTGGCACCTGTGGAATGGATTTGGGAAACATGCATTTAGAGATTAGCGGAACACCGGAAAGGCTGTCTGAAAGCTCTCCTTGCCAACAGGAAACTGAGGAAGTGCTGGAAAGCTGCTGCTAAACAAAGTCTCTCCCCCCTGCCCCCCTCCCCTACGCAGCAAACCGTGTCAAACACTTACCAATACAGCTCACATCGACAGAAATCTTTCTGTGCCCACTGCTGCTAATTACTCAAACATTTAAAGGGAAACAAGAGCAAAGTGCAGACATTTTAAGAAGAGTAACAGGAAAAAAAAAAAGAGCATGAACAACAGGAGTGGGAGAACAGGGAGGAAGAAAACATGGTTTGATATATACGATTCACCAAAACAATGCCTTAGCAAGACAGCTGCTAAAAGTGAGAGGAGGAGAAAGGAGTGCTCGTACAAAAGGACTGGACAATTCCCTGGGGCAGATCCAAGTAATGGCTTTTATTGCTGAAGAGCAGTAATGTCTAAATTACAGCCTGGGACCAATGCCCTGGTGGAGTCTGTGCCCTCCTAGGCACAGGTGAGACACTGCAGGGAAACAGGGAGGTGGCTCTGAGAGACCACAAACAACTCCAGCCAACAGCCATGCAGAAAGGTCAGATCCCAGGCTGCTTGGTCCTGGGAAAACACTTCCACTTCAAGCATGGCACAGAGAGAACCTGGGTTCTGTTAAGCAGGGCATGGGGATCCTCTGCTTTCACATCACCTTTTATTTGGGTGGGCAGAGCTCTGTGAGCAATCCCATCTCTGCCTGGAGACCTTGAACAGCATTACCTGGAACACCTGCTGGCAGTGGGAGAGATCCCTAACACCATGTAGCACCAGGGCTGTGAGCACAGGCTTTCCTTGGATCTGTTATGCAGTTATCTGTTCCTATTGCCTGTATTGATCGTGTTCAGCTGCCTCCTGCTGTGAGGACATGCCACTGTCACCTTCCCTTAGGGCAAAAAACTAATGCCAATGAGAAGGGAGACGATTTGGTGTTGTTTTTCCCTTTCCTGGGGAAAGGGAATAGCTCCTTGCTCTGCAGTGCAGGGAGGGACCAAAGCAAGTGCTTGGTGTTGCTGCAGAGGGAGGTAGAGGTGGCAAATGGGAAACCTGTGATCTGCAAAGCACATCACTAATAAAGCACTAATAAAGCAGCACCAATTCCCACAATTCCTGAGGGAATCTGAAAGCAAAGAGAAGAGGGCAGAGACAAAATCATGAAGCTCTTTGGGCAAACACACAAGACAATTCCACAGTGAAATGAGAATGACCAAATCAGAGATGCTTTTCTACATCTCAGCTGAACAACACTCCCAACTCAACCCCTGCCAGCTTCGTCTCAGCTGCAACCTGGAACTGTCGAGGCTGCTTCAACAGTCAGGGCTAAGGAATCATTTCACAGCAGTGCTCTAAAAGAAGCGAACCCATCACACATCTGAAGCCTGATCCATCCTCTCCTTCCACCAGGCTTCCTTGGCTCTCATTCAGGGAGGCAGATCAAGGCTCCCAGGCTGGGTGTTCTGAGGACACCCTCCAAACCCAGTTCTCCAGCACTTCTGCGCAGTTTTGTGCTCCCACGTGCACCCAGCAGGAAACAAAGAGAAATACAAGGGACACATTGTGGAGCAGCACGGCCAAAAGGCTCGACACAGGTGGAACTTAGAAGATGAGCTGTTCAGTCAAAGATTTTCCTGATTCTTGATGCTTTTCATTGAAACCTGTAAAGTGCACTAAGAACTAGGTCTCACTCTAGAGGGAGAGAGACAAGCCTCCCATCCACACAGCCACGAGAATGCTTCAGTAAATCCCATGGTCTTCAGGGACAGGAGATGTAAGACAGACTTCTTGTGTGTGTGCAAACAGGAGAAAAATGGAAAGCACAGGTAAAAACTGCACAGTGCCAGCCCTTTATCCCCCATGGTTCAGTGAGCAGTGCTGCTCACCTCAGCCTGGCCCTGGCTGGTGGGGACAGCCTCCAGTGACCCTCCAACAGCCTCACCCTTACAGCTGCCTGCAGCAGCACCTCTCTGCACTTCAGCCACCAACTGCTTGTGAACAAAAATCCTGCTTCCCTCCATGCTCCAGAAGATACAGACAAAATACAGCCAAAAGTCTAGCACTTTCTACCCTGCCAGAGAGCAGCCTGATTTCTCTGGTTTCACCTCGTATTCTCTCTCAAGATGAGGCAGAATTTCACTCACACCGAGTCTCTCTGGCACTCAACAATCTGCACCACAAATTGGTATGAACAGGTCACATCCCAAACCGTATGATGAGCAGGGGAGAACAACAAACCTCAGCTGCTTCATTTAACTCTGCTCCCCACTGTCTTCACCTGGGAGCGGATCAGGAAAAGGGTGAGCATCAGGTGTGACACAGAAACAGCCTCCATGCTCCTTGAGACAATATGGTGACTGATGCACGTTAGCAGCTGTTTATGCTACAACCTCGTCTTGAGTGGGAAGCAGCACCTAAATGCAGTGAAAGTCTACCTTAAGGGGCTGGGGGGAGGAATTCCTGTTGGAAACCAGCCCATACTAATCCACTTACAAGACAGAAACTGGAACAGGTATGCTTAAGAACATTGGCAGGGCCTGCGCTTCACTGTTATTGTCTATTCAGCCACATTACTCAGAGGAGTTTGATAATTTATTACAGCACTTTCTTCTTCTGAGTATACACTAATAAATGGAAAAAAAATATATTTAAAAGCCCATTTCCATATTCCTCAATTTAATTCCCCGGAACAGTTTGTGAATTCAACAAGGGACTTCTCAGTAAGCCCTTTCATAAGTAAGTGCACAGTGCTAGCTATGCTTCAGTCTTCATGGACTGATCCTGCCCAAAGTGCTCATAAATTCCCTGTAAAAGCTTCTGCAATATTGATTTTTTTCTTTCTTCAGCACCATGGGGTATATTGGCTCAAACTGATGGTTATCAAATTTAGGAGACTCTTATGGTTTATAAACATTGCTCATCAGTTTATCTCAATATCTCACCGACCTGTTTTATTTTTATTGTCTTCAAGCATAAAATGACGTTACAACAAGTTGGACATGGGGAAGGAGCCATGCAGAGCACCTTAATAAAACATCCACACAGAAGAACTGAACAAGCAGAACCTCCTTCTGAAAAACCCAGAGGCACCGAACGCTCCAAGGACTCACTGCAGCCAGGTGAGAAACAAAACCACCTTGTCTTCAGCTGCCCCTGTTCACACAGGGCTGGAAAGATTTGCTTCACCTCCTTGGGCACCCCTGGGCACGGGCAGCGCGCCGAGCATCGGCATCCACTCTGCTCCAGGAGCCCTGCCCCTCGCTCCCATTCCTCTGGCTGTTCCCAGGCAGCTCAGCCTGACCCTGCTGGATTCATCACTCACACACCTCTGGCTCCTTCCTCCCCAGCGCTCGGAGGAGGCCGTTATCATCCTGTTCATTTGACAGCCAGGGAAATGGAAGCAGGGCTGTAAAGTGATTTCCTGAACATACTGCAGACAGCCAGAGGCTGATCCAGACAGCGAAATCCTATTACCTGATTTCTGATTGCCAGCACTGCCACAATGCCAGACTGAGCAGGGTCTCTCTTTCCCAGCTTCCCACTTCTTTTCTCTATCTGGCACAGCATAAACACTTCAAAGAAACACTGTCTCACCACACTAACAATGCAGCCAGTATTCTGTGATCTCCCCACTCTTGACATTTTGTCCTCTCTAGTTCTTGCCTCAACGTGGAAGGAAAAAAAAGAAAGAACAAAGCAATTAAGACACTGTGCAGTGCTTTCCTTTCCTGTTCCTCAAAGCAGGTGATGAAATTTTCTGTTTCACTGCTGATGGATTTGCTTGGTGTTTCAAGCCGAGGTGAGGGTTCTGTGCCCCTCCAAAAGCGAGACTCCCCAGCTTGCTTTGGGCGAGCCCTGACAGTGACCACTGGCTGCAGCCCAGCCTCCCTTTTATCCATCCACCAAGCACATCCCAGGCTGGGATGCTCCTGATGAGCCCAGGCTCTTCCCACTGCTGCCCAGCAGGCCCATGGCCAAGCAGAGGTGCCCCCTGCCCACAGCCAGGAGCACCGGCTGCAGGAGGCTCTCACAAAGCCATGGCCCCTCCTGAGGGCACTGCAATTATACTGGTGTGTACCTAATTCTCTGCACCTCATGATTTAAAACAGTATCAAAAGCAAGCTGATTTCAAAATGACGCTTGGTTGTGTGTCAGTGAAGCCTGTGAGCTTTAAACAGAACCTCAGCAGAGTACTGACAGAAAATTTCCCATCACACGCATCGCCTTAGTTCACACTCAGATGATACCAGTTTGTTCTAGTTAATACTTCATATTTAAAATACAACTACATCAGGTTCAAGGAAGGAAAGAGCTCTATTTTAAGCAACACAGCTCTATTTAAACACTTGATTAGGCCAAATGAAGGCTTTAATGTAACAATTACAGATGAAGAAAGTGATGCAGTGCTCTACTGGTCTGTGCAGTCATTGCTATGGATAACTCTGTTTTGTCTTTTCCTTAAAATGTGGCTGTCAAAAGTATCCTGCCACCTCTGTCACTGGGAGGAAGACTCAGAAGTGGATAAGCCACTCACTGTTCTTTTGGGAGGATGCAGCAACCAAAAAAGAAAGAACCTACTCACAGTAACATGTTGACACAACAGACCTGTCTCCTGGATCAGTCCACAAAGGGGGTCAGTGCAATGTCGTATTCAGCTGTTATGCAATACCATGTGAACAACTTTATCTCCAAGGAGATCTTAGCCACAAGCATGAAATCTGAGAGGAAAGAGGGCAACTCATAATTTCTCACAAAATTCTTTGTGCTGGGTAGGAAGAA